CATGCTAAAAGTGAAAACAAGATCAAAATTGTTAAAAAGAGGTATTGGAAAGAGGAGAAAACCAATAACAGTTGGCCTATTCTAGTAAGTCAACTATGCAGCATATCGGTAAGTGTTAAAATAGAGGTATTAGAAAGAGCAAAAAATGGGTCAGTCGACCAATCTTGCAACAGAATAGTACATTGATCACCTCACAAGTTGACCGACTTGCCTGTGGCAATAGTCTGATAAACCGAATACCGACATTGGAAGCCTAACCGCTAATCCCGGTAGACTGAAAGCTATCCAGATCAATCCGAAATTCGATCCAAAATGTGATTACTAGTTATTTTATGAAAGGAATCCACAAATAAGGGTTCAAATAGATGAATAGCAATTTTAGAAGGCAAAATAATGATAGAACATTGAGTATACAATTGTGAATGTTAAGAAAATAACTGTGCTTCATCTTATGAGACTGTATTTTGTATAAAGAAGAGATATTGTAAGGGTTTGGTCTTCACATATCAAAGACGACAACGATTGTAAAGGTTCATCTTCAACCACGGAAGACAACGAAGAGTGTAAAGAATTAATCGTCACTTGTTGTAGAAGATTGAGATAGTGTAAAGAAAACTATGAGGAGAAGGTTGAAAAGAGGACGTCAGCCATAGTAGTTTGGTCAAACCTCTATAAATTGTGTTTGTTTTTCCCTTACCAGTGTTATGAAAGTTGCGCCTAGGCGATCGGCAAAGTCCAGGTGAAGCAAGCTTCAATGAGGTGAGATTAACGCAACCAAGCGATCGCTTTGTCGCTTAAATCCAGGTGCGTGCTTCACTGAAGTTTTTAAGTTGCTTTCTTTTTCTATTATGCACCGTTAGACTAATCAATTGAATTAAAACTTTGATATGCCCAGAACAGCCGATTGCTCCTATATATATGTCTAGTGGCGGCTAAACCCTAATCGACCCTGAACTTGCTTAGGAGACCAGAAGTCGCAGCTTCGATAGGTATGTTCTCTTCTCTTCTTTTCTGCCACTCTGCCTCTCTTTTTCTCTTGTTCTTGTTTTGTGACAAACATTTACTGAGTCAACTCTGAATTTGTGAAGTTAGAACTTGAATATTTAGAAATAATTAAATTAAAATATTTGCTTGTTTTCATACTATTCACTTCGCTCCTTGCATTTTTATACTATTCTTCTTCTCGCGCCTTTAATAACACTACCCTTAACTACTCTTACTATTAATTTCTTATTATTCATCATTAAAGCATTGATTTTGCATCACTCAGATCAATTGTACAAATTGCTAAATTGTGATTCAATTCAAATTAGGAACAATCAACCTAATTCATCCCCTCTTAGGTTAACACCCAAGCCATACTCAACAGATAACAGCTCTAAACACATGAAGTATCCGTTACATAACACAGTAGGCAATAGTAAGGAAGTGGGGAAAACATAGGTTCATATTCTAAGGTCTTTTCACCGCAGTTCCGGTTAGGGAATGAAATATCTGAATGCTTAAGCAATTCTCCAGCCATCTACAACAGTAAGTACTGCTGGAAAATGGAAGGAATAGGCTTTGGAAACAAGGACCAGTAAGAATGAGGGGGAAAATATGGAATAATCTCAACTGGGATGTCGGACAAGCTTTCCAGTGCAAGAGTTAAGCAACCAGCTGTACATAGAAATCTTCAATCCACCCTTGAGTAAGCTTAGGTAAGAAAAGAATATTGAGAAATAGAGAAAAAATAAGAAGAAGAAGAAGAACGGACAGCAAGAAGAAGGAAAGACAGAGAGGAAAGAACAGCAACAGCAGGGGCCAATGCTAGGTTTTCTCTCCAAAATAATATCCTCCTATTGAAAATAATGGAAGATTTATAAGAATGAAACCATAGATCTCAACCCTTCATCCCCCAGTTTAGGTGTCATCATCTTATCACTTCCACATCATTTAAAGAGTCATGTGCTAGGCATGTAACCATGTAAATAACTTGAGACAAAATGTGGGCATGCCCCACATTGTAAAACTCTAACACAACATAAATTAAACCAACTGTTAAACTATCAGATATAATCAGAAATCCTAAAACTAAGCTATAACATATGCCCTCAAAAATTGAGGTTTGGTTCAGTTTCTATGTACTCATCGACTACTCATATGAAGTTGTCTACCCATTAAGTAGATATTTTCAACTTCAACTAGTATTGATAAATCATTATTAGAGGTTGAGGAGAAGTGTCAACTATCCCTATTTCCACCATCTGATCATTAAAATCCATGGTTTCTCAGGTAATCTCAAGCCATGACTCAAACTTTTATCCGAGTAAAAATTTTAGTAAAAGGTTTGATTTAGTAGAAAACATTCCAAAAAACAATCTGAAATTGCTATTCAAATCCTTTTAAAGATTCTCATATTCTCCCAGGAGCCCATTTCTTTATTTTTTTGCCTCCAAAACTTATTTCCCTCTTCTCTTTCCCCTACTTATTTCCCTCCAAAATGTCTTCCTTGCCAAAACAAATAAAAATATGGTGAGTTTGAATCTGCAGAGTACAAACTTTAATCGTTGATATGCAAGGTTGAAGTTTCAATGGTGGGGTTGCAGAATCTCTAACAGTGGGTTGGCGCAAAGTCAAACTTCGATTGTGGGCTTGCAAAATTTGTGTGAATATGGTGTGTTTGCAGAGTCGAAATTCAACGGTTGTGAAAATAAGATGAATTTGCAAAGTCGAACTTCAATGNTGGTGTGTTTGCAGAGTCGAAATTCAACGGTTGTGAAAATAAGATGAATTTGCAAAATAGAACTTCAACGGTGGTGCAAAGTGGTAAGTGTGAAATATTTGAAGAAATATAATAAAGACGTTGAGTGGCATTCCTCTAATTTCAGGGGTAAAAAAATAGCCATTCGAGATTTGGGTTAATAACAAATGTTCCCTTGATTTGGTGAAATATCTAAGCATCCCTCAGTTTGATACTGATTTAAGTAAAGGATTGAAGGATGTTACTTGAGGGTTTTTACTCATTTTTTCTTTCTCTGTTTTTTCTTTTTTTTTTTTTCTTTTGAATTTTTTTTTTCTTTTGATATGGTCTTTGTTCGAATTTAAATTTGAGATTATGTCTAAATAAGGGTTGGAGATCCTCTAACAATCTAAATAAAAGTCAAAATGGTTCAGAACTCTACAAAAAACCTGTATATGAATGTACCCTAAACACTTCACTTTTTTNTCTAAATAAAAGTCAAAATGGTTCAGAACTCTACAAAAAACCTGTATATGAATGTATCCTAAACACTTCACTTTTTTCTTTGACACATACCAAATAAAACAAAAATTAGCAACTTTTTCCTTTACAATTACAAATGTGCTTAAATTACAAATGTGCTTAAAGTGTAGTACCTCTAAATTGGGCCATTGAATCATTTCTTCAGCTAACATCCGAAGAGCGACACGGTCTTTTGGGATTTTTCCCTCATTTACCTACACAAACACAGTATCACCAATAAGGCATGCCAATACATAATTAATCTGTTTGAGAGAGAAACAATCGAGGGCTTGTAATTTTGATATGCAAAATATCTTATCCTCGTGGCAGTTTCGTCATACAATAACCATGTCCTTTGACATCAAATGAGAATATCCCCCAACAAGTTAATTTGTTGTTACGTGGATAGAATACAACCCACCTAAATGAGAATGATGAGCTGAATTCTCCAAATTGTTAAAGCAAAACAAGTGGAGCCGCAACAAATTTAATCCTGCCAGGACTCGCAAGCAATTTGCACTTAGCTAATGGTGAACTTCCAACAATAAACTAAATCAACTCTCTTATCCTAATTACAATATGGACCTTCATAAAAGTGAAATTAGAAAGAAATACAAGGAAGAAAAACAAAAGGAATAGAGATTTCTATTATCTGTTAAGTTTCATAGTTTTTGTTGTCTATTATAAAAACTTGGATCTTTCACTTTAAAAAGAAAAAAGCAGTTACAGCATATATACCCAAATTAAAGGAGTGCTCTGGGAAACCATGATAGCGTAGGAAGACCGTCAGAGAGATAGACCAAGATGGAGCTAAAAAAGCAAACGAGCAAATGTACATTATTCTAAATAAAATTACTCAGAGAGTAATAGTCACACAAATGGCACTCAAGCCTTCTACGCTAGCAGAATAAAATGATAAAAACATTTTCCTACACTTCAAGCAAAATTGTCACCTATTTGGCCTTCAAACTCTGCACACTATAAAAAATTAAATCAATTCTTACCATCTAGCAAATAAAGAGAAAATAATCCCATAACTCTTATTTCTTTGAAGATGCGACAGGTACAAGCAATTTTTGACAATCCAATTGTCAACAAACATCTTCATAAGATTTAAATTCAAGAGATCCCTTCAGTTAAAAGAATTATCTTAGTCATACCATAACAGTCCTTTCAATAAAGAAGATACCTAACATATGGAATATAACAAGCAGTAAAAGCCACCACTCTATGCTGAGCTTCAACAATTGATCTAGCAACATTATTCATCTTCCTCTTACCATTTACATATATAAAAAAAAAAACAAAAAAAGCAATAACCAGGANTGATCTAGCAACATTATTCATCTTCCTCTTACCATTTACATATATAAAAAAAAAAAAAAAAAGCAATAACCAGAAGAAATTTTTTTTCTTTTTGATTATAATGATACATCCAATCAACAGCAACAACACAGTATTTTCCTTATTTCTCTTTAAGGCATACACATGACGTCCTTTCTAAAAGCATCTTTGAAATATATCAGTTATAATAGACAGATATAATGTGGAACTAGAAAGAGATACATATGCTAACTATGCCAACTCCAAGACAGGTATCCAGCAAAGGTGTATTCGAATTCATCAATTGGCCCAAAAGTATTTCCTACATTCTAGATTGAATGCTACATAAACAAGGTTACAGCCATTGGGTGGGTGCTGGTGTTTGCCTAGGCATCTGACCTCTCTAAACCCAAAGTTTCAGATACGAGGACTCAGCCGGAAAGTGTCCAAAAGAAGTAGGGTATGCAATACATGGACATTTCCAGCAGGGACCTTCAAAGCCGGAAACTGTCCAAAAGAAGTAGGGTATGCAATGCATGGACACTTCCAGCAGGGACCTTCAAAGCACCCCCATTGACTTGTTCATGTGATGATAGGGTCGATCTTCTTGACCTAAAGCCAACTTTGATTCAGAGCTCTACCCCAGAGATTGTGGTACCTAAGGAGATCTGCAGCTTTTTCTTTCTTCAAATGTGGGAGTTGGAGTTTCCAACATGTGGATTCAAGTGCCTGACACATCCCACAGCTGCGCCTGCATTGTAACATGTCGACACCAGTACGTAGGCTCTACAAGCGAATCCATGTGCAATCTAACAAATCACTTCAGCTCATTCCAAACCTAACCATGGGCTACATGAGGTACAAGATATAATCTTATATTCGAGGACACAATATACTAATATCCTGGTGTAATTTAATGACATGATTTCTCTGACATCCTCCAAGCACCCAAAGCTACATGAAAATCATAAGGTGCTCCATTTAATTTAACTATAGTGATTTGCAAATTGGTATTATAAGAGAGAAAGGTTGGCCCAACCTTTTGATTAGGATCGTGTTGGAATAGAATAGCTATTATAAACATAGTTGTTAGTATCGTACGATACGCAATACGTATCGTATGATAAGTCATGATACAGAGGTAAAACAATACGAATCGGAGTTTTGTATCATTTTTGCATAATATCGTCCGATACACGATACGTTTTTACGATATGATACGTATCGACCGATACTCGAAGTCTTTTTTTTTTTTTTTTTGGGTAAATCAATCACAACCACTCCAATGGAACGACCAAAATTCCTCCAAAATCAAAGCCCACCACTACCCTCATTGATAAAAAGAAGAAGATACCTGTTGGAGAACGATGTCGATCACTGCCTCGTGCTTGTGAATCGATCAATTTGTTCTTGTGAATCGATCGCTGCCTCTCGATCACTGTTTTTCTCTCTCTGCCTCCCGATCGCTCTCTCTCGTTCTTCTTTTTTCTTTTTTCTTTTTTTTTTCCTGATCATGCGTGTCTGCTATGCTTTAAAATAGGAAAAATTACACTTAAGCCCCTTGAAATTTATTACTTAATCACTTAGACCCCTAATATTTGAAATATTATACACAGACCCTCTAAAATTTATATACACATAACACTTAAACCTCTGCCGTAAATATATCTGTTAATAAATTACATCTAAACATCCTAAATTTTGTAAATATATATTTTATTATTAATTATTTAAAATTACACCGTATCTTACGATACACGATACGATACGATACACTATTTTTAAAAAACGATACACCTTCCGATACGCAATTTGACAACTATGATTATAAATTTATTATGAGAGTTATTTGGAGGTCATTTAAAAATTTTTGAAACTTTTGGGTAGGTCTGCAATTTCTGAAAACCTCTTGGGATGTGTCTGCAATTTAATGATGAGAATCGTGTTAGAATAGATAGATATTATAAATTTATTATGAAAGTTATTTAGAGATTATTTAGTATTTATCTTTTTAGTAATATTTTTTAACTTTTGAGGGCATAGTTGTCATTATATATTTGTTATAGCATATTGTTTTCCCTATATATTGTAACACCCTGCATTTTTTTTATATATGTATATAGATATATAGTAAATAATTGTGGTAAAAAAAAAATGTGGATATATGTAGTGATGTGTGTTTGAATTTGGTAGATTGAAAAAGTAGAGATTTAAAATGTTAGTGAAAATAATAGTTGAAATATGATTTTAATAAGTGAAAATATGAAATTATAGGTCCTAAAACTTGTATTAAATAGATTTGGTGTAGAAATATGTGTTGAAGAGGTTTGGGATGAATTTGGTTGGTTTAGGAATGGATTGGAANTTTTAATAAGTGAAAATATGAAATTTTAGGTCCTAGAACTTGTATTAAATAGGTTTGGTGTAGAAATATGTTTTGGAGAGGTGTGGGATAGATTTGGTTGGCTTAGGAATGGATTGGAAATGGAAGATAGAGGAAGATAGGCTGTGAACAGTGCACTACTGCAACTTCAAGCTCGATTTAGACCTTGATGTAGTCAATATCTCTCAAAACTCAAAACATGAAAGTTTTAGAGCTCTTTCGTATCATTCCATAGGATCTTGAATCATCTCAATCGGAGCTTGGATGAGAGAATTATGCTCAGATAACGAAACGATATCGAAATAGTCCAATTAGCTTCGTTTTGCATTTAATATCTCCATTTGCATCATAAATCAAAATATAAGAATAATGAGTACTTTTAGACTTCAAATAAGTATAAAAGACTTTAAGAAACACCCTTTATCACATTTTATTTGCAAACATCGCAAAACTTCATTAATAGCCGATTCGGATGAGTAAAATAAAAATTTTAGTGTTTCAGGTGTACGTTGACTTGAATTTTCAGATAAATCATAAAAATAAATATTTTTAGGTTAAAATAATATTAAAAATGAATCCGGAACGTCGACAAACCTTAGGATAGTCATATGGATCAAATTGAAGATTCTTAGTGGTAAAATCGTAAATTTTGAGAAATTCAAAATAGCCCGTGAACAGTATTTTTCGGGGCTACTATGTTTTAAACTCATTTGCTCTCATTTCCTTCACTCCCCGAACACCTCTTGAAACCCTAGAGGGCATTAGAGAAGAAGAAAGGAAGGGAAAAAAAAGAGATNTTTTGAACAAAGTAGGGTTTAATACCCATGAAATCTCCTTTCTAGTTTTAAAACCCTAATTTTTGGAAAGTGATGTATTTCCTTCCTAAATGCTTTTTTTATTATGGATTTCGAAATCTTAGTGCTTTGTGTTGGGTAGAAAAATGATGTTATTGTGATCTCATGTATTATCTTAGCTGGTTGTGGAATTGTTACATGATATATTTTGAGAATTTTAGATAGATGCTTGTAAATTGAGATAAATGTTAAAATTGTATGTTTGGTTGGGTTGTTTGTGATGCACATGAGTGAGAGGTTCCTTGTAAGGATGCTCACCCCTTCCCAAGAGGTTCCCGGTAAGGATGCTTGGGAAATAATGTAGTGATTGGTGAGAGGTTCCATGTAAGGATGCTCATCCATTTTCAAGAGGTTCCCGGTAAGGATGCTTGAGAATCAAAGGTGACCTAAAGGGGGGTGGAGGTTACCACAAAGTATGCCACCTACCGAAAGAATTGTTGAAAATTGGTTATGGCAATTAATGGTTATTATTTGTATGTGGTGCTCGTTTATTCATTTAAGTAATGTTTTTAAATAAACTTGAGATCCTTTTTAAATGTCACTGTTTTATTTCAAATTATGTATCTATGTTATGTTAAAATTGAGACCGACCATTTTAAATGCTTTTCTAAACCTTGTATGGGTTTGGGAGAATTTTTCTACAGAGCTTCGTGCTCACCCCCTATCGCTAACATTTTTCAGATTACCCGCTTGAGGAGGAGGACGTAAGGGTCGAGGAGCCCGCTACTTGGGAGACTCCACTGGACGGGAGTGTGGATCCCGAGGTGGACGCATAGAGCGACCTCCTTTCCTTTTGTACTAGACTAGGACATTCTTTTGGAACATTGTGTAGTCTAGCTTCTTTTGTTTATTCCGCTGCGCTTCTTTAATTAATTTTTGAGATGTAATAGCCATGACTTGGGCTTATTCTTTTGGATAATGTTGTAAATATTCGTGGATGACAAATGAAGTCTTGTTTCTTAAGGGATTATATTAGTGCTCTCATGATATGAATGGTTTTAGAATGTAATGCCGTCCAGGGTGTGTTTTGGGGCGTTACAAAATTGGTATCAGAGCTTAGGCTTTAGGTCTTACATGGGAGCTGTAGGTTATGAAATCACCTGTAGAGCTTTAGGATTAGGGTGAATCAAATCCTTGAGTGAAATTTTATACATGTTCTATGCCTTAGCTTAACCTAATATTTAGGATGTCCTGTACATCCATGAACTAAGTTGTGAACTGATGTGCAGGATGAACGGACAGGGACGCAGACGTGGGCGTGGCTGTGGAGGTCAAGCGAATCCACCACCTCCGAATGCCATGCAAGGCATTTACCAATGCTTGAGGGAGCTCACCACTTTGGTACAAAACCAAAATGATTAACAACCACAATGGTGGAACTCATCCTCTCGCTCAAGTACCGGGCAATGGGAACGGAGACCGAAGGATGATAGCTCTTCGGAAATTCTTAAGACAATGACCACCCAATTTCCAAGGGAGCTCCAATCCTTTGGAGGCAGATAGATGGATCGGCCGAGTGAAGAAGATCTGTGACGGCATGGGAGTTGCCGAGGAGTTGAGAGTTGATTTGGCGACCTACCTGTTTGAAGGGGAGGCCGACTGTTGGTGGGATGCCATAAAGAGGAGAAGGGACACCGATACACTCACTTGGGAAGAGTTCGATCAACTTTTTCAAGATAAGTACTTTCCTGAATCGGTCAGAGACCGAATGAAGGCGAATTTTTTTGCACTACGACAGGGTAGTATGACCGTGGCTGAGTATGAGAGGCGGTTCGACGAGCTCTCCCGTTATGCTACAAGATTTATATCTAATGAGGCCGACAAGGCCAAACGCTTCGAGCAGGGTCTGAGGCCGATCATCAAAGAGAAGTTGGTGGCTCTCAGGATCCGTGATTTTGGGAACTTGGTGGACAAAGCTGCACTGGAAGAGAGAGACATAGAGGATAGCCAGCGACGACAAGGCTTCTCGAGAGGAGGTCCGATCCAGGCGGGTGCTTGCACTAGTGGGGCACTGAGACCAGCACCATACCGTCACCTAGACCAGAGCCCGAGGAGTNGGAGGTCCGATCCAGGCGGGTGCTTGCACTAGTGGGGCACTGAGACCAGCACCATACCGTTACCCAGACCAGACAAGTGGACAGCGACTTTTGACAGCCCGAGGAATGGGAGACACTCAGACTAGAGCCGGTATTACCCAACGATCCTGCTTTGCATGCGGAGGTGTGGGACATATTCGGATGCATTGCCCAATTTTTCCACCTTAGGGGCCTATCCAGACCGCCAGACAGGTTCCAGCAGCCCAACCACCACCACCACTGAGGCTTNCAGGTTCCAGCAGCCCAACCATCACCACTGAGGCTTGCACCGCAATGACCGATACAAGCTCAAGCCCCCGGCGGCGCCAACCAAGGACGAGTATTTGCTTTGACTCAGCCGAAGGAGGACATTGCCAATGTTGGTGTGAAAGGTATCGTCCTTATTTACAATTCTTGGGCCCGAATATTATTTGACCCTGGTGCAACACACTCATTTGTACGCACGACATATGCACTTGATTTGGGATTGAGTTTCGCGAATCTAGAGCATGTTATGAA